CCGATGACAGATCTGTGTACCGGCCCGTTGCCAGCACCAAGTGACCTGCTGTGACCAATCACAGCAGGTCACATGACAGTTGTAAACAATGGATGCCTTCCTTTCATGCCATCCACTGTATACAATTGTGTCACTAGCTGTGATTGGTCACAGTGATCACATGCGCAGACTAGGCCAATCACAACCCATCTGTGTCATGTGATTAGCCGTGGCCAATCACAACAAAAAAACCCTGAATGAATCGATTTCATTCAGTTAAATGCTAGTTTATAGCAAAGAAATTCTTTGCTATAAGCAATCATATTGTGTAAAAAAACTAAACAAAATACAAATATTGATCACTTCCCCAAAGTAGTACAATGTTACTATGGTAACATTATACTACTTTGGTTATAGCGTAATATGAAATGAAAATAGTAAAAAAAAACAGAAAAAAATGTAATAAAAAATAAAATAAAAATTTAAAAAAATTATCAATTTTTTTTTTCGTACTGTCAACAGTCAGTGTCCCTGATCACCACCACACTAGTTATATGATGATGATGTACTGCACTGGTGACAGTATGTAAAAAAAAAAATAATTGTGAAAATATTTCTAATTTCTTCATTTTCCAAAAACTTATGACAAAAACATTTAAAACTTAAAAAAAAAACTCTCCATGCTGCTTATGAAATACTGCGGACTTTCTACTTTGCAAAAAGGGGTCATTTATAATAATAAATAATAATAATAATTTGGGGGATATCTGTACTGTTCTGACATTTTTGGGCCTGAAGAAATTAGATTGGCCATCAGTACTTCAGGATTGATTGATTTCCAGATACTGTATATCCCATAGTTTGTGAACTCTATAACTTTCCTACAGACTAAGCAATAAATACTGATTTGGGTTATTTTCACCAAAGAAATGTAGCAGAATACATCTTGGCCTAAATTTATGAAGAACAATTATTTATTTGCAAATTTTTATAACAGAAACAAATAAAAATTTGTTCTTTCAAAATTTTCGGTCTTTTTTTGTTAATTTATAAGAAAACAAAAAAACAGTGGTGATTAAATACCACCAAAAGAAAACTCTAGTTGTGTGAACAAAATGTTAATTTAGTTTGGGTACAGTGTTGCATGACCGCGCAATTGTCATTCAAAGTGTGAGAGAGCTGAAACCTGAAAATTGGGCTGGGCAGGAAGGAGGTAAAAGTTCCCGGTATTGAAGTGGTTAAGTGGTGCTGCAGTGTTCGCTCGATATCCATTAAAAGATCTTTCTTGCTGCTAACAATTTTTTTAAAGGCAACATACAACTGGCTATCTTGTGTGCTGGGTTTACAATCAGGAAAAAATGCTTGCCGATTGGTTACTGCTCTGGGGTAAGGCACATTACAGACCGTCTCATCCCACTGAAGTGCCTCAGAGAATACAACAGAGAGCAGTGCAGAAGACTTTCCCGGAATCTGTCTCCACTTAAAATAGGTTCTTGTAAACTGGGCAGATGGCAAATAATAAAAGGAAAAAAAGTCCCATTTATCATTGTGCTCTTAATAGATAAAACCAGAAACTAAACCAAATTAAAATAAATAAATAAATAAATAAAAGGATGTGGTCCCAAAGGAAATATCCACATTGTCCAGCAATATCCTACAGGGTTACTGCAGACTGGTCAACCAAAATAGCGAATAAGCATTCTGAACATTGACTTCGAGATGTGTGTGTTGAAACTAGTAATAGAACTTGGGGTTGACCGTATATCATGGGTCTTTTCAGGGGAAAGGACACAGGTACAGCAGGTAAATTGCAAGGGTTGAACAAACAGACACACCAGCCAAACATTCCCGTCAGATTCATATGAAGATACAGCACAATGTGAAGAAGACATGGGGGGTTCTATTAGGCTATTATACCACTCTTGTTGACAGCAGCTGTCAAACAAAGAAGGTGGAAAGGATTGGGTTGTCCAAACATCTGCTGCATCCAGAAATGGCAAGACAGATGGACAGAGCTAAGTTGCGCCTCTGTAAGGTCACCATTTGGAAATTCACTGAAGAGGCAGCACAGAGTATTTCAGGAGAGGAGAGTGCAATAGAATCAGCATAAAGAATTTTAAGGAGAATATTTAAGGAATGGAAAAGATTCCAAAAATTCCATAAGCAGTGCAGAGTATTTCAGGAAATGAGTTAAAGACAGGAAGAGCAGAGTGCTTCAGCAGCAGAGGATATTTCAAAAGAAGAGAGTTAACCAGATAGCCTTTAAGGCTGCTAGTTACTACTTCCTACTTTGTGTTAAAGTTCATTGTCTTTCAGTTGTGTCTCATCAGTCTCTGCCATAACGGTGAAGCTGGAATCTTCGTTCCCAAGTCTGGTATGTATTTCACTTGAATTTCTAATTGGATTTGCTGTTAAAATAATAGAACCTTTGTGGCCAAACCAAAAAGCAACAGGTGACCTGGAGTTATGGCTACCGGCCAGCGTGGTGCGCTTTATCTAGCCCAGCTCAGATGCCACGCTATCAGCTCTGCCGCTTATCAAAGCCTGGCGCTGCGATGACAGAGACGCCAAAACTACAAATCAGGAAGGGAGACCTTCTGTCCCGAGAATTCAGAATGCCAGAAATATTCTTTTATCCTCTGCTGTGAACCTTCTCCTCATGATCCCCGTCATCATCTACTCAACATTAACAAATGATATGCTTGTTTAATTGGTGCAATTAGTGCCACCGGTCTCCCGCTAAAGAGACGGCTTGCAGGGGAAATGGCGGTGATATGCAGAAACATAGGGTGATAATTACACTTTTAAAAATTTTTTTCCTCCGGTGGCCCCCTGAGGAAAAAAAAAAAAAAATCACTAGAAGAAAAATTGCTCTGCTAGTTAGCATCACACAGTCCCGTACACTTGTGAGGACTCCTAGGAAAACATGAATCGGAACAGTTGTGTCATTCACATGCCTCTGGGGAGCTAGGAACCATCTGCCTGCAGATTATGGGGCACATGCTCATTTTGTCTTGGCGGGTTTGTTTTATTTTGTGCAGCTTGCCATGGTTGCCTGGCTTATCTAGTACCTAGCGACAAATTACAGTCAAAAAGTACACAAAAAATAAAAAGCCTCAAGATTGGGCCAGAATTGGCTCATTTGGGTACAGCTGTCCCCAGCCTCCTGCTGCCTATTTTACTGAGGACACTCAAGTCTTTTCTCTCATTTTACTGCCTTCTAGCACTAGAAGCCCATTCAGGGTATTGACCGACCAACCAACCAATTAATACAACTCTATAGAAAGTTCCCAAAGTTCTGAAGTTAGCGTTACTCTCCTTTGTAGAAAGCAGACATTTTTTGTGTTGGCCGGAATGTACAGAAGAGAGCCAACAGGGTCAGCAGAGGAGCTGCTAGAAGGTAGTGTTAGTTTCTACTGAGCTGGTAAACTGGAATTTGGCAAAAACCTCTATGTTGGCTCTTAAACAGGAATGTTATAATAAAATCTAAACTTAAAAAGCAAAGGCACAGTAGGATTGTCAGTGAAGTAATACAAAGAGGGATAAATGGCAGATTTGCTGACTGAACAATATCCAAGATCTAAATCTAATCTAAAATGCCCAAACACACTTCAGTGAGCTCCTTTATCCTCCTGATATTGGAACCAACTTCCAAAATGCCCAATGCCATTCACTCCTTAATGGAGCCCTCCTAATAAAACATCAAAAAGACCAGAAAAATCCAAAATGAAAAGCTATTTGCTGCTTCTGTCTGCTCCTGAGTGTGCATCCTGAAAAAAGAAACTCATGCTGTATATGTAGTTCATGTATGCAGTAGTTTATTCCTGCCATCTATAACGCTCTGGAAGAGTTTTTTTGTAAAAAAGTATTTCTCCTGGAAAGGAACAAGACAGACCAAAGCCAAATGAAAAATTCTTGCCTATTTTTTTAAAGAAAAACTACAGCGTGGCGATAAATGTTGGCACCATTGCATTCTGGGATATCCCCCATGATTAGTCACATAGCGTTAATCTGTCTTGCCAAACAAAAGAGGCCAAATTTTCACCAAACCCCAGCTGTCTCTCTTTCAATGAAAGAAGGCGAGATTTACAGCGTCCCTGCAGCAGGAGTGTTATAAAAAAAAAAAAAAAAAAAAAAAAATACACACACACAACAAGCTGCCTGAATCATTAAGTGCACACAAAAGAGGTGCCGGGCTCTGTATGCCTCACTCCTTGCAGCCCTGAATAACTTACCATTGTTCAATAGGACAGGCATGGAGGCAAGCTGCCGAAACCACAGGAAACTTCAAGGGAGCCCCCTCCCCCCACCCGCTAAGATACTCAGCCACTTGTACTGTTCTGATGACTTACAAAAATACATGGCTAGACTTACAAAGTCTAGCCATACATGGCCAGATCTGGTATGGATTTTGAATCTAGCAACATTTCCCACCTTCTCCCAACTTTTTTTAAGAAATAGACATTTTCAGTTTTCCGTGGATCAGGAGTAACCCTAATTTGTTGTACACAATTCCCACATATTTTTTGTGTAATTATAATGCTTGCTCTGGTTTTAGTCAAACACAAGTCAATAAATTACAACTGATCTGAGCACCCTGAATAAACTAGCACCAAGATGGAAGATCCCAAAATTCTATTCTATGTACAGAGATGGTGAAGGTCCACAGTCTACATCGGTTGCGCAACCACCACCTGTTTTCCAAACCCGGCAACACTTGGGCCAACAAGTATAGGCATGGTACCAGAATTTCTACTATGCCTTCCTACATCAGGAAAAGGCTAGCATTTACCTCTTATACTGAACTAGAGACACACAAGCACCACAAAGACATTGTACTACTGTATGATTACTTCTTACATTTTTTTATTTTTACACGTTCAAAATAAACTAAACTGAACAGCGCTTGTATGTGCTAATCTATTTGGCTTAAAAAGCATCATCCAGGTCAAAATGTTTTTTTCAAACCACCGCCAAATCCACCTGGGAATAACATGACAAAAAATGACATCGACCAACCTGCATTCTGTCCCGCTGGAGTCACACTTTCCATTATTCAAACAAGTTTCGCCAGGCTGTGTACACCTTAAACCTGGAAAAAAAAAGCAAAAATCGAAATTAGAAACAATTTTTGTCATGTATGCATTTTAGTTTTCATCAGCTCACGGTCAAGTGTTCTCTAATCAGCTGCCACTTGTAAGATTTTCGTTATTGCCATGTCTAAAAATGTGGCTTTTTTCCTCTTTTAATCTTGCCGTCAGCGGTTTTATCATCTTCAGTCAAATACGGCGGCCTGTTCAGGAACTGAATGAATACTGCTACAATAAAAATGAAAGTTTATATCTGGAATTGTTTTCAGACAATGCTAAATCTGCAGCTCGGTCATCCTTGCTACATTTCTTTGTGCAGTGTTTGTAAATGTATGCAAGGTCAGATTAATATGGGGAGATTTAGTATGCTACAGCTGAGGCTTTGAGGTTTTCCACTCTAGGCAAGGACCCAAGGTGTGAACACAGCTCTGCCAAATTTGCATAGAGTTTGAGGATTGTAAGAGCCTCAGGTGTAAATGGACTAGTAAATGGAGGTGGACTTTTATCACTCTGAAACTTCTCACTAATGTGCCAAGTGTATGCTACTTCCTGGAATGGCAAAACAAAACAGCAAAGATAAAAAGAAGAGGAAGTGAATAACATTGACCACCAGGCAGCCATGTTTTGGTTTGCCACCGTGAAAATTTGTATATTTGTCCATCTTTTTAGGCTTTTCCCATCAACTACTCTAATGTTCCACCCCATTAATTTCCAAACAGATGTTAGCTCTTGAAGTCTACCTCACCTTCTCATGTCCGAAAAGGAAAAAAAAAATATCTAGGTTTATCTTCACAATTTAGCTGTTAGAACCCCCCAGCAGTTTGACCACAACAATAAATTCTTAAATCAGCTTTCATTTTTGTGAAACCACTACGGCTAAGTGTTCATCATACACACAAATCTGAGCAGATGTTGGATTTTTATCAAATACCCTTCTTGTGCACCAAACAAAACTCAACCAAAGATGAAGCTGCTCAGATATATGAAGAACACCTTCATACAGCATGTGTCATAAAATATGGGGGCTGAACACAACCATCAGAAAAGATGTTATATTTGTAGAAAGTCCTAATGTGCGTTGACCTGCCATGCTGAAACTTGAAGATCTGCAAGATCTGGTCAGGTTACAAACAACCCATCTGTTCTTCAAAAGGCCATTAAAGCATAACCCAATAGATACTACAAATGACAGATCACCCAATAACCACAGCTAGCTGTACACAACTAAATCCCCCATTGATGCAAGGAGGCAGAACTTTGCTCATTCATTAGGGCTGAAGTCGATAGTCATTGTGTTCCTTCATTTAATGTGCATTTGATACACACATAAAAAACGGTTAGCAAAATACCATTGCATTCCACCAATCATTACACATGGCAGTTCAAAGGCTGGGTTTGTCCTCCTTTACGTTGTTCTGCAATTCTTTTTGATGCAGCATGTGTCAAGGTGTTTTTGAACTGCAGGAAAAGCAGGTCAAATGCTGCATTTTTTCCATATGAATGGAAAATGCAATATTTGACTAGATTGCCATCATCATGACCCTTACACTTTTGTTCATCTGACATGTGTTGTGTACATTAGGCATTGAATATGACTGTGGTCAGTTCTTCCCCTTTTGATGCGTGATCTAGATATTATAATCAATACCCAATCTTGCACGTGTGGTCACTCAGGTATAACTGCATCATACAGATAGTAAAAATGCCATCCCTTCCCTCTTCTTATGCATGTTAGGTGCAGAGTGCTTCCGAAAACTTGCAGAACTATTTCAAACAACACTGCTCATGGCTGACACTCATAAAAGTGATGTAGGGCAGCACAGTGGCTAAATGGTCAGCACTTCCGCCTGGCAGCATTAGGGTCATTGGTTCAAATCCCAACCACAGCACCACATGCCTGGAGTTTGCATGTTCTCCCTGTGCGGGTTTCCTCCAGGTAATCCGGTTTCCTCCCACACTCCGAAGACATGCTGGTAGGTTAATTGGATCCGGTCTAAATTGGCCCTTGTATATGAATGTGAGTTAGGGACCTTAGATTGTACGCCCCTTGAGGGTTAGGGACTGATGTGAATGTACAATATATATGTAAAATGCTGCGTAAATGGACGGTGTTATACAAATACCTATAATAAATAAATGTGACAGCACTAAGAGGATGTACAGGCATCCTACTAGCTACTTCAATTCCAATAACAAATACCGGTACATGAACCAACCACATTGTTCTCAGGGAACTGCAACAAAGTTGGGTTGAATTTTTTTTTTGTAATTTTCTATTATTAGGCCAACCTCTACCAGATTTTCATCTGTCAGATCAAAAATATCTACTAAAACTGTGCAGTTTAAGAGAATACCTAAGCAATCCATTTTGATTATATGCAAGCTGGTAGATGCTTACAAACTATAGAGCCATAGGAAATTTTGTTTTCTATCTGACAGATAAAAATCTGTATATAACTCCTTTAGGACTACTTACAGACAGACACAAGCATGCCTAATGATATGACCATGACTGGTGTTTTTGAGGGAATTTAGTATGGGGTCTGTAGGTACATCTATCCCTGAGATAAGGCTTGGAGTTGTTCAATTCTTTTGAGATGCATAATTGGGCTACACAAAAAAGCATATTAACGTAGCAAAGATTGAAAAAAGAAAAAGCACCTTGCATTCAGATTGTCCACTAAAGGTCTGTGGCTACTTTTAGAAGATAAGGGTTATCTCTTTGGTGACTTGACAATCTGTCCCAAAGTGCCCATCACAAGGGGGTGGGGGAGGGGGCAGGGCACGAGCAGCCACCCCCCCATTTCCCTCTAGGCTACTCCTGAGAAAATGCAACAGCTGCACAGCGAGTCCCATTCTTCACCACCAACAAAGAAGAGGAATCAGAGCTGGTCATTGTGAACTGTGAAACACACCTCTCTGGCATATTGTTCTGCACAGGGCAAGTATCCACGTCCACCTCCCCTGTCACTTAATACCTGCCACTGTGAGAGGAGGGGGGTTGTGTAATGACCCCCTGCTATGTGAACACACTGCCTCCTATGTCTGCCTTCTGGGCAAGGGGGGGCATCAAAGAGAGAACTTGGGCAAAACTAAATCCCGCCATTAAAACTTTTACTTGCTGGCTGATAATTTTTATGCTTTGGAATCATTAAAAAGCATCTTTACTCAAGAGGCATTCATAAAAAAAATATAAACAAACAACACAGCTCTTACGCCTAGTACACACGATCAGAAAGTCATATGACAAATACAGCTTTCAAAGCCATTGTATGATAATCTGATCGTTCATACACAGGCTTCATCTGAAATTATTTGAAGGGACAAGCATGAAAATTTATCTTGTACGACACTGGATCATACGATTTTCATTTAATCAGCACAATTTTCGTCCAAAAATGCAATACAAATACAATACATGACATCACTTTTTAATTGTAATTCTGTCATACAAGGATTTTCGTAACTTAAAGCAGAACTCCACCCAATAGGGGAAGTTTTGCTTTAAGGACTGGTCCTCCGCTCCCGTTAACCACAAGCCTACAGGGTACTTATACCCCCTTCCTGCCCAGGCCAATTTCCAGCTTTCAGCACTGTTGCACTTTGAATGACAATTGCGCAGTCATGCAACACTGTACCCATATGAACTTATTATAATTTTTTTGTGACAGATAGAGCTTTATTTTGGTGGTATTTAATCACCTCTGGGTTTTTTATTTTTTCTTAAACAAACCAAAAAGCACTGAAAATTTTGAAAAAAAAAATGTTTTTTCTTGGTTTTTGTTATAAAATTTTCTAAATAAGTGATTTTTCTCCTTCACTGCTGTGCGCTAATGAGGCTGCACTGATGGACACTGATAGGTGGCACTGACAGACATCACTGATGGGCACTGAAAGGCAGCACTGATACATGGCACTGATAGGCAGCACTGATAGGCACGGATATGTGGCATTGATGTGCACTGGTAGGCACTGATATGTGGCATTGATGTGGCACTGATGAGCACTGACACAAGGCACTGATGGACACCGACAGGTGGCACTGCTGGGGCTACATTGATCATCAGGGCACACTAATCATCAGTGCCCTGATGATCAGTGTACATGTCCCCTCCGCGGAAAGCTGATTACCAGCTCTCCTCTCAAGCTGTCAGCGTGACAGCTCGAGAGGAGAGAAATGCTGATAACCGGCATTTCCCTGATTACATGTGATCAGCTGTGATTGGACACAGCTGATCACATGACCGAGCCAACATCTTCGGCTCTTTCCATGATCGGTGATCCGCTGTGTCCGAGGGACACAGCGCACCGCCGATCGCCCGCGCTCCCTGAACCGTGCATGCGCGGTGAGAATGGGAAGACGTCATATGATGTCCTCCTAGAACGAAAGAACCACCTTGCATCCGTCATATCACTATATGGCGGGCAGGAGGTGGTTAAGGATCGGCACCTTTGGGAAGCGGGTACCCGAAATTGACAGGTACCTGTTCCCACTTCTGCTGCGATCACCTAGACGAGCGGAAGCAGAAGTTTTCCTCCCCCTCCCTTCCCGTAGTTTTCTGGGACACGAGACAGGTCCCTGAAGACTACAGGGCCATTCACGAAGCTCAGCGCTACACGCGCATGCACTGGGAGCACCCGGCTGTCACAAGCTGTGACAGCTAGGTGCCCACACTGAAAATACTGGCGCTGGGAACACAGGGTGGCCGCTGCAATGGGCTGTGCGGGGGGGGGCACCGTGGGATTGAAGGACAGGTAAGTGTTTTTTTAAAAGTCAGCAACTACAGTTTTTGCAGCTTCTGACTTTTTTTTTCTTATTTTCACTGGAACTCCGCTTTAAGTAACCTCTTCAATTTCAATATGAGACTAGCATGCAAACCCCCCCCAAAAAAAAACAGGATGACCATTCATCCAATATTCTCATCGTGTATACTGGGCTTTAGATTGTAAGGTCTGCAGGGCCCTCTGATTCCTACTGTATTAAATTGTATTGTAATTGTGT